CATCCAGGGAAAAATGAAAACTGCTGAGCTGTCTCTCTAAATTTTTGGTGTGGTGCAATGGCTGGTCAGGGTCACAGAACAAAGATTTTCCCATGAATAACATGAAAGTTTCAGTTTGTACTGGCCTTCCCTGAAGAGCCTGTTGCTTTGTTGTGACTTCACTTGCATCCGAGTGTCAGTTAGATTGAATATAGCGATAAACCCATGACAATGCACTAAAAATTATACTGTTTGAGGCTCTAGGATATCGTATACTTGGCACTGAATCTCATAGTATCTAAAAAGATACTATGAGAAATAGTATCTGTGATACCACGTGGTATTGGATTTAAACTGCAAGGGTAGAAACACATGTTTTATGTCACTGAAAACTGGGAAACAGCTGTTCTGGTTTTTTAATGAGGCATCCGTCTTTAATCTTTTTTGTCTGTAAAATACTTCTGTAATTTTTTTTTTTTTTTTCTGTAGTTCCAGCACAATTTATATCTTAGGAAAATCATACAATGGGAATCAGTTTTATAGCACCACACGATCAGTCAGTGGTATTTAGGACAGTGATTAATGATTTCAGCAGAAGAATTTTTTCCATCACATGGAGTCTTCAGCTGGGAATAGACTGTAGCCCTTGAAATTCTGCTTTTGAGCCCTGCTCCCTCTTCCTGGGTGTGAGAATCATTGGGTAACATTGTGGTTTGTTCTATGTACATGGATAGTTTAAGTCATTACCATCCAGTGAAGTTCTGGGAAACCCTGAAAAGCCAGACACAGGATGAAAGTAGGCTTCTCTAGAAAGCAATTCAAAGCCTCAGGGAGAGGCTTGTCACTGAAGCACCTGCAGGACCTACACCTAGATGATGGCCCAGGTAAATCTCCCTTATCATACACAGCAGATGTTGGCTTGCAGGACTCTTTTTCTTCCTGTAGGCATTTTGGAAAACATTGCTCTTCTTCAGCATACATAGCAAAACAAAAACAGGACTGGTGCCTTGGGTTATAGCAGAAAGAAGTATAATCTCCTACCTGTTCTGAGGGCATTTCACCAGGTAATGCTTCACTGTTAAAGAAGAAAAAAAAAAAAGGAAAGAAAATGTGGCTTCACACCAACACAGTTTATGAGTTACAAATGAGCACTGCAGACAGACCTGTGTTGCTGAGACTGTGGAGTTATAATAACTGCCAGGTTATTACACTGGGAGAGCTGCTCATCATCACCACACATTATGTTATCAAAATGTAGTCTGACTCAAAGGCATAGCTAGGCTTGGGAGAGGGGAATGTATCAAACATCAAAAATCTACTGTGGAAGTATTGGGCAATGCACATTCCAGTGGTCAGCCCAGCCAAAATACAGCTTGCTAAGGAAAAGCACAACAGGCCAGTAATTTTACTTTGAAGACTTTTATTTCCCTTGTGGTGCCTCTATTTATTTCCAGAAGCCCGAAATAAACCATTCAGCCACAGGAGCCACTGCTGTTCCTAATGTAAGCTAGACTGTGGCCTCAGGCACAAAGGGATTGCCTCCTGGGATCAGATCAGAGGTCCAGTCCAGCCACTATCCTGTCTCTGACAGCTGTGTGTGTGTGTGCTGTATAAATCCTTATGCTTCGTATTCCTTTGAATCAGTAGTCTTAAGCAAGGGCAGCTCCCCCTGCAGCAGCCTTTTAGGAGCCAGGGTTATTAAGATGCTCTTTTGTGGCTTAGTGGCTTCTGTGCTCTGCCCGAGCTGTGCCACGTGCTGAGTGCAGAGACATGCAGGCAGGAGGAGAGGCTCTAGCTCTTCTGGTCAACCTACTGCCAACTTACTCCTCAGAAGGAAAAGAAGGTGCATCCCTGGGCCATGGTGTGAAGTTGAATACAACATAAACACCCTCTTCCCTTCATGTTCTTCATTCTTTAAAAGGCCACGAAAACCAGACAACAGTGCACTTTCATGATTATGCCCTCTCTACATTAAAGTTTTCATGTTTGGTCTCACCTAAATTCTCCCACTCTAAGGAAGCTGCAAAGCCTCTAGGGGGTGCATTTTAGCCCTAAAGAAGGGGGATCTGAGGGCACTAGGAAATGGGGCTGCACAGGGGCCACACCTACCTAAGCCAGCCAAGGCAGTGTTTCCATCTATCTGTCCTTTTTCAGATGTACGGGAGGACAGTACTCCTGATCCTTCAGGAGTAAGGGGATGCTCATGTACACTGCTGATATGCTTTTGAGCTTCT